GTAGGATTAGCCCTCAATGGTGGAACTTCCTTATCTTGATCTACATACTCCCATAAGCCAAAAGACTTCAAACATGATCTCATTTTGACAATCCATATGTGATAGTTTTCCCCAGAAAATTGAGGAACAGCAAATACACCATTATTCCCCGAAGCCATTTTATCACTCACTCACAAGTGTTTAATCTCCCCTCTCAATTTTTTTCAGACCCACAGCCTATAAGAACAATGCTCTCGATACCACTGTTAAGACAAGCAATGGGCAGCGGAAGCATAAAACATAAAAAACCATACAAACCATGAAACAGAGAAGAGGAAAGGTTAGGGAACAGAACAATTTCGTATTTGCTGAAGAACCATACTATTCTGTTTTTTTTTCATTCATATATAAGGCAAATACATGAAAAATGACAGCCATACATAGAGCCCATAAATGCTGTCAGTAAAACACATGTTCCCATCATCATTAAGTGTGTAGATTTGCCTAAAATCAGAAACCTAACAAGATATTATCTACTGCACTAAGTAAACATAATTACTGCAGAACTTTACCCACTAATACAAGCAACCATAAATAATTATAGCAGTAAAAAATAAAGGAAAAGTTTTACTGCATTAACATTGCTGTTAAGTTTTGCCTTTGAAGCTTCCCATGTGTATCATCCCATATTAGAGAGCTCTTCCCTTTTAATGCATTTGCAGTTGTTACAATTACCATGGGCAGCATTCATTGCTGGTGAGGACTCTGTTTTTTATCATTAATATTATTAATATGTGGACTCTGCTATCTATACACGTTTGAGCAATTTGAGTAATTGTATTGGAAAGTTTATTGCAATTACCTTCGCACGTCCCATTCACGCACTCTTAAATATATTACAATTTTGAGTTTATATTTTTTAAAAGAAAAATAATTTTTTATTACTGTTCCAGCGATAAGCTATGCTGCCTGTGTCACCAGCACTCAAAGTGAACTCTCTCTTTTAGTCTTTCTGTAGGTATTGTGTTGTGTGTTTTCTTGATGTGGTCAATGATTACTTTTCTAGTATAAGTAGTTGAAGAAATATTCACCTTATCCTAAATTTAAACCCTATATTATCGATAAAAAAAATAAAAATAAAAAAGAAGAAGAAGAAGATAATATGCCAATTCTTAAAATAATAAATATAGTTTTTGTCAAAATTGTACCGTCCGGGTGAGAATCCGACTAGACTTCCTATTCGGAAAATATCCGACTTGATTATCCTACCACAAGCCTCTTCGCCTTACAGGCTCAAGGCTGGAAGACAAGTGTACCGTCCGGGCCGAATTCCGACCCGCCTCCCTGGTCGGCGGAAGAACGAACAAACTCCCATAAGGAGTAATTCTTCCCGGGCTCAATATAGGCCTAGTCGGTCGGTACCCGACTGGACCTGGGGAACTCGACCCCTCTATCGTTCACAAGGGCTGAGAGGGTCACCCGATAGAGACCCGACCGGTCTTTGGACGTAGACCCAATCCATTAGAGCCCGACTGGGCCCTCGGCATGGACCCGATCGGTCGAGAACCGTGGGTAGTTGTTCCCTTTGTTCCCGCGCCCTCGAGATAATAACGGTTAGGAAAATCCCGCTATCATCGGGGCCCAAGAGGCCCACTAAACTTCCTATTCGGAAAATAACCGTGGGTACAATTTTTGTCAAAATTGTACCGTCCGGGTGAGAATCCGACTAGACTTCCTATTCGGAAAATATCCGACTTGATTATCCTACCACAAGCCTCTTCGCCTTACAGGCTCAAGGCTGGAAGGCAAGTGTACCGTCCGGGTGAGAATCCTAGTCGGTCGGTACCCGACTGGACCTGGGGAACTCGACCCCTCTATCGTTCACAAGGGCTGAGAGGGTCACCCGGTAGAGACCCGACCGGTCTTTGGACGTAGACCCAATCCATCAGAGCCCGACTGGGCCCTCGGCATGGACCCGATCGGTCGGGAACCGTGGGTAGTTGTTCCCTTTGTTCCCGCGCCCTCGAGATAATAACGGTTAGGAAAATCCCGCTATCATCGGGGCCCAAGAGGCCCACTAACGACATGCTATAAAACTCAAAACCCTAGAGTTGAGGCGGCAGATTACACTTTTGAATGCTCTGGCTCTGAGGCACGATCTAGGAAAAAACCCTAGTCCACCTTTTGGCCGGAACAAAAATAATATTTGTCAAAAAATAATAAATATACTTATGGTGGGAGAGTGGCGTATAAAAGGAAATCTTTTCTGATTTATTGCAATTAAGTGTACTGATCAATTTTTGTTGTTTAAAAGCTTAATTTCTTAAAGATATTTAAATTATGTGATCACGTGAAGAAAATAAGTAGAGGACATGCAAAATCTAAAAGTTCTTTGTTGTTTAACGGGTAAACTCTAATTAATTTGAGAATTTAGAGGAATGATATAAACGAAACAGTCATGCGTGTTGTAGCAGATTAAGTGTATATTATTAAGCTCTTTCTGAGTCCCTACCGACAGGAATTGTGTGGGTCACTGCCGACGGTTTTAATTAATGCCAGAATGATGAAAAGAACAACCCAATCTTATGTAACTTTAGACACAACAATGAGAAATAAAAGATTTAACATAGTTCAACTCACCATGTTTATATTTACATGATATTTTTTTTATTTCAAAATATATCACAAGTTCTTTAAGAAATCTACCCTCTTTTTTTTTTGAGACTTGATAAACCCTCTTACGAGTTTTAGGGATTGAAATTTGGTAAAATCCCACTTACAAGCTTTATATATTGAAACTTGGTAAAATCCTTCTTATAAGCATTTTAGTGAAACTTGATAAAACATTCTCTTCATTGACCCCTCTGGAAATATTTTTTTATTCTTAAAATATTTTATTTATTAATTTAACATAACCTAATATAAAAAGGGAAAACAAATACGTAGAATAAATATATATATATATATATATATATATATATATATATATATATATATATATATTAAACAATAGCTTAAATACAATATCATTTTATATGTAAATAATATCTCTTAAATTTAAAATTGAAAACTCAAATTGTTATTCATTATTATATCACTCACTTATTTTTCCAATTGTAAAAGGATAAGACGAATACAACTCTAACAATACATTTTTATGTTTTTTTTTTTATCATATATACTAATTATAACATCTCAAACTTACATTGGATGAGAGTGATGTAAATTTTGTACATATTATTGTAAAATATTATAGTTGATGTTGATTTAAAATAATTAATTAAAATTGCTATATTAACAAAATATATTTATTTTTCGTTAACTCATCATTTAAAAACTCTATAATTAAGTGTGTTTAACTATGAGTAATATAAGCATACGTGACGTTTCTAAAAATTTCCATAAAATTAAGTATGTTAAAAGAGAACAAAGCATGCTAAATAGCTTGTGAGAACATTAGTTAATCTTAAAAAAAGTGATGGAGCATCTTAGAAAATGAAGGATCACATGACCGACAGATAAATTAACAAGGAATTGAATGAAGTATTAATAAGTAAAATATTGTAGAGTGAAATGTAATTATTAAGATGTTAACTCTGACATTAAGTTAATGATCTACTAATATATCATTAATCTAGATATAATTGAATTTAATTTGTTTTTAAATGATAAGTCTTAATGCTATGACCCCTGGAGATAAGACAACAAAAGCTAGACTTCAAAGTGCACCGTCATGGGCAGTAAATTTTATCGTTAATAAATAATAACATTTTATCTAGTTGTTAGTTTGTTACGTTATCTTATTAATAGATAAGATTATTCTAGGATTAGTTAATTTATATCTTTTAAAGACATAAGATTAAAAGGTTGTTAGCTCTAGCTCGATAAATAGATGTATTATGCAATTATCAATGATATCAATATTTTTATTGGCTTAAGAGATTGTCTCTTGCGGAGTTTCAGAGCTTGACTCGAATAAGGCTCTAACATTGGTGCTTTCGTTGAGAGCTTCCATGGCTGACGGTACTCGTCTTAGCAAAATCGAGAGTGAGTTGTCTCGCATAGAGGCACAAAACTCAAGTTTCCAAGAACGCATGATTACGCAGATGACCGAAATCATGTCCTTGTTAAACAAAAAAACACAAGAAGACGAAGATCCCGAAAACGTATCTACGCATTCGATGCCACACAGCACATCGCATTCGCATACTGCACGCATCTCCACAAAAGACTTCAAGATTGATCTGTCTAAATTCGACGGGACCGACGTTGATGATTGGATTTTTCGTTTGGAGGAATATTTCGATGTCGCAAACACACCCGTGGAGCACCGCATCAAAGTTGCAAGTTTTCACATGATCGGACCTGCTTACGCTTGGTACAAGTGGATGGTTCGTAACAATTACACTCAAGATTGGACGGTTTTTGTTGACGCGTTGCAGAAACGTTTCGGCACAAACCTATACACCAACCCCCAAGAAGCGCTTAAAGAATTGAAACAGCAAGGCACCGTCACAGAATATCAATCCCAATTTGAGGCTCTTTCCACTAGAGTCTATGGGTTGTCAGAACAATGGCTGGTGAGTTTCTTTGTGGCTGGTTTCAAGGATTACCTGAAGTGTCAATTACGGTTGGCCAAACCACCGTCATACCATGAGGCAGTTGCTCTAGCTCTTCTCCATGAACAAACTCATGTCGTCTTACAACAGTCATTGACACAAACGTCAGTGGCACCTGCAAAATTTACTCGAACCAGTACATTCCGCAGCACCGCAAATCAATTCCCTACAATTACTAACACCCAAACATTTACGACCCCAACCAGCCAACCACCTACTTCAACGTCCACTATTTCCAATACACCAAGTGACACTTCCTCCCTATCAACTCCACGGTCTCTCGTCACCAGCCAAACGACAACCAAACCTCCATACAAACGCTTTACGGCAACTGAATTGCGCGAACGCCGTCGCTTGGGACTTTGCTATTATTGTGATGCAAAATACAGTCCTTCTCATGACTGTCAAGCCAAGTGTCACATGCTGTTAGCACCCGATGACTTCATAGACGTTTGTCACGCGTCGTTGGAAGATAACAGAACCGACGAGGAAAAGGCAATTCCAGAGATCAATTTCAATGCCTTATTCGGAGAATACAACCCGCGCACGTTACGACTAAAAGGATCGTACCAAGGTCACTCCATTAACATCTTAGTCGACAGTGGCAGTTCCTAGAATTTCGTTAAACCAGAAATTGCACATCGTTTAGGTGTTCACATATCAGATATTACACCGTTCAAAGTTTTTGTGGGAAGCGGAGACTTTATATGGTGCAATCAATGCAGCTACGACATTCCCATTACTGTGCAAGGCATTGTTTTTCCAATTGATCTCTATCACTTGAAAATTTCTGGTGCCGATATGGAAAAAATATGCTGATTCTAAGCGACTTGACAAGCATTTCGAGGTGGACCAATGGGTGTGGGTGAAATTCCACACTTACCGTCAACAATCTGCAGCTCGGAGACTCAACTTTAAGCTAGCTAAGCGATATTTCGGCCCTTTTCGTGTCTTAGAACGTATTGGCAAGGTGGCATATCGGTTGGATCTCCCATCTCATAGTCGGATTCACCCGGTTTTCCATATCTCCTTATTGAAGGTTTATTCGGGACCCACACCTCCAGATTCACTCGTCTACGATGACACTGCCTCAAACCAACTTCCGGAGCCACAAGCAATCATTTCTGAACGCACTGTCTCAACCACTGAGGGTGATGAGTACCAAGTTTTAGTTGAATGGGCAGGGAAGCCACGCGAAGAGGCCACTTGGGAATCTTGGGATGTGTTGGTCGACATCTATACCAAGCAGGCCCTTGAGGACAAGGTCATTTTCCATGGGAGGGGTAATGTTATGACCCCTGGAGATAAGATGACAAAAGCTAGACTTCAAAGTGCACCGTCATGGGCAGTAGATTTTATCGTTAATAAATAATAGCATTTTATCTAGTTGTTAGTTTGTTACGTTATCTTATTAATAGATAAGATTATTCTAGGATTAGTTAATTTATATCTTTTAAAGACATAAGATTAAAAGGCTGTTAGTTCTAGCTCGATAAATAGATGTATTATGCAATTATCAATGATATCAGTATTTTTATTGGCTTAAGAGATTGTCTCTTGCGGAGTTTCAGAGCTTGACTCGAATAAGGCTCTAACAATTAAATTCAAATTTCGCATATAAAAAGAACGTGATTGAGAATTGGTATATACTTTCTTAAAAGTGACGGATTAAGTATGCCACAAATTTAATAGAATTGATATTTTCTTTTTACAAAAATATGGAGGTTGACCTACAGCACAAGATTTCTATCAAACAATATTAATCTTTGTCTCAATATTTAACTTAACTAATTAAACGTGATTTTCCACACGCCTTGACAAATCTTCAAATAATAAAAAAACAACAAATAAAAAAAATAAAAATCTTCAAAGTAAGTTAGAGTAGTTGAAGTTCCACCAAAACGGAACACAACCAACAGCAACTTCGTTAGACTTGTCATCACCGGCGTTGATTCCCAAAAATCGATCACCGGAATCCTTAATAACCGCCGTCTCCTTCACCGGTTCTACGGCGCCGTTAGAAGAATCCAGCGGCACCGGCGGCACTCTGACGGCGAAATGAATGACCCCATTTCTTTTCCCTTCCCAGTCCCTCAAACGGTAACTGAAGACATGCATGGAATTTTCGGAGACGGCGAGAAAATCTGAAACTGCGATTCTGGCAACCCCAACGGGTCTCACAGCCTTGAACCTGTTGCATTGAACCTCGAAGGTGATGGACCTTGCATGCACCGGAATCTTCACCATTAACTTCTCATTCCACGAGAACAAACCCGAGTTATTATCTTTCGCCATCTTGGTGGTGCAACAGTTCAAGGACTCTGCCCGAACCACCACGTAGGGCTCCTCCGTCACACGAAGGTTTTCGCAACGCATTACGGTTATCTCTAGATCAGTACCTGAGATTAAGCCCATAGTAGAAAATAAAAAGTGTGTAACTGTGAATGAGAATGTGTAAGTGTGGTTGGGTTTGTTTGTTATAAGTTAGAAGGTGTTTTATAGATGTGTTGGGTTTGGGAATGGGTGGGAACTGGGAAGGAGGAAGAGAGAGAGAAATTGATGTGTTGGTTTCGGATTTCGGTGTTTTTGGTAACGTGTATGGACTTGTTGACTTTTGACTCTGACGTGTGCTTTGTACATCCGCGGCAAAATTTATGAGAACAGAGTTCGGTGTTTGGTTGGTTGGTATCTTTGGGGAGACATTAATTATATGATTATCGAATGATCTTTTGCGTGGACGACGGTGCATGCGCATCTATATATATGCCTTTCCTAACAAGTTTACAAGTCTCCTGTCACCAGACAAAACTTTTATTAAATAACTAGTTTCGAAAAGACATATATTTATTTTTTTAAAAATAACTGAAAGAATTCTTTGTTTTTTTTTAAATCTAAAGGTAATGATATTTAATATAAAAATGGAAATTTATTTTTAAAAAAATAAATTTTTTTAAATCTAAAAGTAATACTGACGAATATAAAAATAGAAACAAAAGAATAGTTATCAAGATCTATTCTCTTTATATTTACTAGTGGGATCGAGACATTTCGTGTCTCTATTAAATAAAATAATAAAGGTATATTAATCTAATTGGTATTATGATTAATTCATTAATTTCAAGTTTTTAAGTTTGATTAAAAATTATTTCTTTTAATTTTTTAAAATAAAAGGGTATAATAGTAAAAAAAAGGTAGAAATCAAGGTAATTATTGAAAAATGTATCTCTTTTATATATTAATATAAATTAGAGAAATTAAGACATTTTGTACCTCTGACGTGTAACGATTACAATTTATTTATTTATTTATTATCCATAAAGAGTTATGACATAATCAAATAGATAAAAAAGTCCAAAAAAATAAAGATGAAAGCGGTTACTTAAAAGTATATTCTCTTTATTAATAGTTATAGATAATGATCGTTGTATATTTGATGACACATACTACTCTTTCAACTCATATATAAACAAAAATAATTAATTTCACATAAAATATATACTATTTTTAAAAATATTTTTAATCGCATTCATAATAAATAATTCTCTCATTTATTATAATGAGAATATTTTTAGATTAAAAATATTAAATAAGATTGATTTAATTGAAGTTTGCTTATATTTCAATCTAAAAATTTTAAACACTTTTTGCTTATATATACATCTAAAGGAAGTATAAAAGACTTAACCAAAATTTTAAAACTAATTAATTTAGTTAATAATAATAAATTTATACGTGCCTTATACAATTTATCTATCATAATTACCAAAATTTTAAAACTAATTAATTTAGTTAATAATAATAAATTTATACATGCCTTATATAATTTATCTATCATAATTAATATTTTCTTTCTAAAAATAGTTAATATATGAGATAGTATAAATTGGATCTTAATTATATAAATAAATAAATAATTATTCTAAGTTAAATTTTATAAATAGAAATAGAAGTACTTTGTCTATACCTATATATAAGTGAAAGTAATTAATTTAATACAAATTAAGAAAACTTATTAAATGCACTTAATTTTCATAATTTTATATAGAATATACAATATATTTTCTAAAATATTCTTATCTACATTTATAATATATAGTGTTCTTATTTATTACCATAACATTATCGTTGAATTAAGAACATCAAATAAAATGAATTAATTAAAATTTATTTATACATCAATAAAAAAATTTAAACATTTTTTTATATATAAATTTAAAGGGAGTAGTATTTATTAGTAAAACTTAGTCATGACATGAGTTCGATTAACATTCCAATAACCACTAAAATATTATTTTATAGGACATACCAATATAAGAAGATAGGTGTCAGAGGAAAAAATTAATTCTTAAATAAATATTTATTAAACTGTAAAGTCTTGTGTTAAGTTAAATAATATTGAGCTTCAGTTAATCTTTAAGGAGATAATGATGTTTGATTTAAATAGTGTAACATTATATATCAATCAAGCATAAACTATTTTTATATGACTATTAAGATAATTATAATTAGAAAAGTTCAAAAAAAATATTTTATAAGACAGTTTGAAAGTAGATAATAATATAAAAACACTTGCACTGGCGATGCATAAACTATTTACCACTTAAAAATACATTGTTATGTAAAATATATAAATTCATGTGCATAATATGTACTAATTCTATAACAAGATTCATTTAAAAAAAATAGTGAGATTTTAGTAAATAGCGTTACACAATTTTATATCAATTGGAAAAACAACTTATATGTAACAAACGACATTTGTAACAATATAAAAAGTATTTTTTTATGAGGATTTTTATTAAATGAGAATATTTATTATTATTGTTGTTGTTTACCACATTAAAAAAAAAAAGTACTTTCTATGATGATTTTATAGGGAATATAAAAAGTTTTAAATAAATTATATTGTCTCTATATCTATGTCTGTTTTGGAAATAAGAAAATTTGTTTTATCAAACATAAGAATGTACTTTTTACGGTAGTGTTACAAGCTAGACCTTCATATTAAATAAACTTTGTAATAAAGCATTAAAAGAAAAGAAAACAATAAAAAGAGAAAATATATTTCTTATAACTTAAAATGAAAATGTGTCCTTATCATTTATAAAAATTCTCTTATTTAAGTTAAGTTGCATAAGTTGATTTTAATTTATGAGACAAATTAATTTTATTTCTCATTTAATAAAAGCTAATTAAATTAATGATTATTTAATTGAACTATTTATATAAATTCTTTTAAAATAAATATGCACTTCTCGTCAATTTTACATGAGCATGTAGGTGATTACTTGTCGAGTATTTTTTTTATAAAAAAAAAATCTGTAGTTCTAGATGCTATGCTACTAATTAAGTAGATAAAATTCATTTTAGAATTATCAGTTTGTACTCTTCAGTCTTGGAGAAAGAAAATTAAAAACTTATGGTGGTGCGAAATATGAGTAGAAATTAAATAAATTTATCTCATTTAAGGAAACTAATTCTAAAACAATTTTTATATAATTTAAATTTTATTTTCAATTATCTCTTTGTTTCTCCTAATATCAACCACGCAATCATTTAAATGGAGAAAAAAATATATTCTCATTTGAAAAGCATGACATTAAGGTAATTTAATGAACTTCATTTTTTTAAAATGAGATTTAGAAAACTAAATAAAGTTAACTAATATTAATTAGCATAACTTTTTTTTTTAATTTATATTGGATACTAGTTATGTACTGTCGATCAAATAATTCCTTCTTTTTTTTTTTTTTTTTTTGTCGTTGGTCAACATATTTATAAATTCAATCAGGAGACTATTAATTTAAGTTAAAAAGATATGATTAAGTAAAGTTTTTCATATTTTATTATTATGGTTTTAGAAAAATAAATAAATAAAAACGATATATATTTAATGTAGAATATTATTTATTTTTCTTAAAGACCAAGACTATAGAAATTAAAGAAATGGAATTTTCTTCTTTTTTCCTATGAAGACGCTCATCTATTACCAACCGATTTTACTAGTCAAATTTGTTGGTTGTGTCCAAATCCAAAGAACTTGAGATACTTGCCCGACACGTTTCTGTTGGTAAAAAGTGAAAAACCATAAAGGATAAAGAAAGAGAAAATTAAACAATTTAAGATATTACGTATCGTCGGTGTACCGTACGTCTTCATCCTTTTAGAGCAGTTTGAGAAAGATTTACAAACGAATTTGAAGTTTGAACGATGCACTTCCAAAGGAAAGAGCAGAATGAACATATATTAGAAAATTCCACATGCATGCACGAACGTCACCAACTACTATCTACAAATTAAAGAGCTAAGCTACGGACGAGTCAGAGATAAACTTTGTTTTATACTCTTGGTCCATTTGCAAAATAAATAAACCTTACTTTTATGAACGTGTGTTGAAGGTAATCCACAGTTTATTTTTTTTATACTGTGTACGAGACTTTTAGATTAAGTTAGGGGGGAAAAATTCTGTTCTTAATTGGTCAACTTCTCATATCATGACAAGATAACATGAAAAATTATAGGACAATTACTCATAATTTGCTAAGAAATCATACAACTATTATTAATCAAGACCGCAACCGGGTCATTAATTAATTAACATGTATACATCGAAATTTAACTTGTTTGATATTTGAAAAGATTAAAAATTATATTATTTTAATATAAGTAATTGATTATCGTTATAATCAACCATAATCACGCTAAAAAAATTATCCTATAATAACACATATTTTATAATAATATGATAGTCGTTACTAAAAATTATTTTTATTCACATTATAAATATAATATATTGTTAAAAAATGTATGTATAAGTTATAGTGATATAATATATATTATTAAATTTTATCTAAAATCAATATTAAAATTAAATGTAATTAGATATCATATAGATTTATATCTATATATATATATATATATTATATTTATAATAACATTTTTTGTATTTTATTATATATATAATATTTTTTTATAGTATTAAAGTATTTTTTTATAAATTTGTTGAAAAATACTTCTAGAAAATGCTTAATTTTATTTAAATAAAAAACAATTTTACATGTTAAATCAACTGAAAAAAAAAAATTATAAGTTTCATATTGAAAACAACTTAATTTTAGGAGGAAAAAATTTGCTTTCGTAATATTTTTAGAAAAATAAAATAGTTGCGTATTAGCTTTGAGCCCAAATTTCAGCTTAACACTCAGAAAACCCTAGAAAATAAGCAAAAATGATTATTGGAGTCAGTAAAATTAAAGAACATTAAGCCTACATGCAAAAGCTAGGAAGCCACAAAATTAACAATATTAACAGAATAATTAGATGAGTAAAATAGTATAAATTAATATTTGATATGCACTGAATAATCTCTTTCATAATAGATATGTTATCATATTCCAGGTTTGAGGTGAATCATTTTATATATATATATATAT